AGGGCTAGTCTGAATTGAATCCCCTGTCAATAGTAAAGGCCAGTCATGAACATTGTGTTTGAAGGAAAATGTTTTTAAAACTCGGATTTTTCCGCTTAACCAATCATTACTTTACCTTATATTCAGTGCGGTAATGTAGGAAATGGTTACTTTCTGGAACGGAGCTGTCAATTATTTTTTAATTTTTTAGCTTGTTAGTGTTATCGTCGGACAGTTGTGAAGTAAAGACATCGCAGTTTGACTGTATACAAGTTGCCTTTAAAGAAAGTATGTCGAAATCTTAACAGTTATTTCGTTGATTTTGTAGAAATTAACCAGAATTCACCTTTGTTTACACGCATCGCTTGGACGTCGAAAACGACATGCAATGACATTTCAGTGAAATTTGGAAACTTGCTCGTATTTTGGAGCATTTTGTAGGATTTCGATGAAGTAAAAAGTGTTTATGATAGGATACATTATTCCTAGAGACAACCACAAAGATAAAATAGTGATCTGGTGTATTTTTACCGAACAGTTCTTGTTTGTTTTGCATGATATTTTTCTCTCGTTAGGGACCTTTATTCTTTATATATAGTATTATGAGCGTATATGGGTAAATGTGGTATATAGTGCCTGTGGTTTTAACATGTCTCTTAGCTTGCTTGGTGTAATGATAAGTAATAAACCTGAGAATTGAAACTATGAGAATAAATTGTTGTTATTAGTCCCCTTCTATTTTCATTAAGAGGGGGACTAAAGGCTGACCCATTTCTGTATGTCAATGAAAGCTGAATTTTGCTATAACTTAAATGGTACAAAAGTAAGGTTCATCATACTGGTATCTGATATAGAACTATACAGAGATTTAGCATGTTATTATTATTTATGCTCCTGAAAGGGAGAGAATATAGTTGCGGTCTTAACCATCTGTCGGTATGGACTCAAGTAATATTCTGGATAAATATCTGTGTTCATTCCATACAGACTTGTACTTTTGGGGAAAAAGGTTGCTCATGGGAGGAAAATATGCTTTTAATGGTGTTTTTGAGATTTTAGTTGATAAAGAAAAAAAAACATAGTCTGTACTTAGGAAGACATTTGTCCTTCACACTCTTGTCCGAAATATGAATACTAGATATGTATTGAAGGGATTTTATGTAAACTTCAAAAGTGAAAGAGACTTTTAAGAGGAAGTGCAATGTTCAAGAAACATAACTCTACCTTGCTTTTCATGTTTTAATTATACCCTTAAGTTAAAAATGCTTATTCCAAACTATCACTGAATCTACATCAACTTGAACGACTCGAATTTTCCAATGTGTCAAAGAACCATAACTCCATTCCTTAGTTTTTAGCTCCCTGTCACAAAGTGACAGGCCAAGCTTTTTGTGATCCTTTTCGTCCGGCCGTAAACTTTTACTTTAAATGACATCTCCTCATAAACCACTACGCTAATTTCATCCAAACTTCACTAAGAATGTTCCTTTGGCTGTCACCTTTAAAAATTGTGCAAAGAATTTGATTCCATGCTGAACTCTGGTTGCCATGGGAAACCGAAAGAAAAAAACTTTAAATATCATCTTTTAAAAAACCCTAAGCAGAGCTAGAGCTTAGATATTTGGCTTGAAACATCTTTTAGTGAGTGTCTACCAAGTTTTTTTAAATAAAAGCCCTGGGGTCAAAATTGGCCCCGCCCCAGGGGTCATTGATTTTCCCTTTGTGCATATAGTAAAAACTTTATAAAATCTTCTTTTAAAGAACCCAAAGAGCTAGAGCTAAGATATTAAGCATGAAACATTATCTAATGAGTGTTTACCAAGTTTGTTCAAAATAAAAGGCCCGGGGTCAAAATTGGTCCTGCCCCAGGGGGTCATTAATTTTCTTTAAATGCATATAGTAAAAACTTTAAAAAATCTTCTTTTAAGGAACTAAAAGAGCTAGAGCTAAGATATTTAGCATGAAATATCTTCTAGTGAGTGTTTACAAAGATTGTTAAAATAAAAGCCCTGGGTCAAAATTGATCCTGCCCAGGGGGTCATTAATTTTCTTTAAATGCAAATAGTTAAAAAACTTAAAAATCTTCTTTTAAAGAACCCAAAGAGCTTAGAGCTAAGATATTTAGCATGAACATCTTCTAATGAGTGTCTACCAAGTTTGTTCAAATAAAAGCCCCGGGGTCAAAATTGGCCCTGCCCCAGGGGATAATTGATTTTCCCTATATGCATATAGGAAAAACTTCAAAAATCTTTTTTAAGAAACCCAAATAGCTAGAGTTTTATATTTTAAGTTGAAACATTTTCTAGTGAGTGTCTACAAAGTTTGTTCAAATAAAAGCCCTGGGGTCAAAACTGGCCCTGCTCCAGGGTTGTCATTGTTTTTAACAGTATGTGTTAGTAAAAACTTCAAAAATCTTCTTTAAAAAAAAAACCCAATAAACTAGAGCTTTGATGTTTAGCATGAATCATCTTCTTATGGATGTCTTCCAAGTTTGTTCAAATAAAAGCCCTTGGGTTAAAACTGGCCCTGCAGGGTGGGGGGGGGGGGTATATACAGGTGAGCAACCTCAGAGCCATCATGGCCCTCTTATTTAATTATCTACCTTTATTATACATGTACTTAATTATGCTTGTCCAGAGAAATACTGGAAAAGAGTTGATGAAATTTGATTAAACTTTTACACAGCGAAAATAATCAAGGTGAAAGAAAGTGTTTTTTTCAAAAGAACCCTAATTTTTGTGTCGCCTTGAAAAGGTGACATAATAGGGGTTACTTTTGTCGGCGGCGTCTGTGTCGTTGTCGGCGTCCCTAAAGCTTGTCCGGAGCATAACTCAGTCACTATAAGTCTGATTGACTTCAAACTTGGTATGCATGCTTCTTTTAATAAACCCGAAGTGCAGTGCACAAAGGACCGGTACTCTGCAGTTCTTATTTTTTTGAGTTATTGCCCTTTGTTAATTTTCATACTTTAATTTTGTCTGGGCCATTTCTCTTCAACTAAAAAAGCTATGGACTTGATACTTCATAGGATGATAGATCTCATTAAGAAGAAGTGCAGTGCACAAGAACCAGTACTCTGTACTTCCTAATTTTTGAGTTATTGCCCTTTTTTAATTTTCATATTTTATTTTTGTCCGGGCCATTTTCCTAATGAATAAAAGCCATGGACTTGAAACTTCATAGGATGATAGGTCTCATTAAGAAGAAGTGCAGTGCACAAGAACTGTTACTCTGCATTTCTTATTTTTTGAGTTATTGCCCTTTGTTTATTTTTCATACTTTAATTTTGTCCGGGCCATTTCTCCTTAAGTATAAAAGCTATGGACTTGAAACTTCATAGGATGATAGATCTCATTAAGAAGAAGTGCAGTGCACAAGAACTGGTACTCTGCATTTCTTATTTTTTGAGTTATTGCCCTTTGTTGATTTTCTTTCTTTATTTTTGTCCTGGTCATTTCTCCTCAAGTATGAAAGCTATGGACTTTGAACCATCATAGTATGATAGATCTTTATTGAATAAGAAGTGCAGTGTTCAAAAACTGCTGCTCTGAACTTATTATTTTTTTAGTTATTGCCCTTTGTTATTTTTCATATTTCATTTTTGTCCCTGGCCATTTCTCCTAAACTACATTGTTCACAGGCGACACATCCGACTTGCGGAGTTCTAGTTTCTAGCTTAATTTTACAATTATCATCTCTTAAAATACATGTACAACAACTTTTTAAAATAATGGTTGTCTGGAGTAAATCTTTTCAGTGATATCACACTCAAACTAAGTACAGTTGTTAGAGACTAGTGAGCAGAAAGTCTTGTGTCAAATAACCAAAATTCTACATTACTTAGTTTTTGAATTATCTCCGTATATATTTCATGATACTGTTCTGAGAGAGGATTAAAATATTGAAGGAATTTGATTGAAACTTTATAAAACGTTATACAGTGAAGAGATTAGCATGAGAATTGCAGTAAAAAAGGCCATTATAAGTTCTAATGACATGGTCACATTCATATAATGTGATGCAAAAAATATTGACAATTTGAGTGTTTACTTGATACTGATACAGAAAATTTGATATATATCACAATTGATTATTTTTTCATAGCTTTGTCTCCCTTTATAATGTCATGTGTTAAAATAGTCAAGCTTGCAGTTTCCTCTGGTAGCTCTAATTTCACTTGTTGCTCTTGTCAAAAAAGGCCAATAACTGTTTATGATCGACCTACACGTACATGTAACCTAAATATTATATTTGAACATGTGTGTCATAGAATAATTGTATCAACTACTGTTCATTTACTGAATTGTGCACTTTATATTTATCAACCGGCAACACCCTTCACTCATTGAATTATCTGCCCCGAAATAGAAAAAAATAGTTATTTGATCCTTCATACGTCCCAACTGCAGTGCCTTCAGCACTTTGATTATTTCCATTCAGAGCAAGAAATATTATCTTTACTAATTAATGTAAGAATAGAAAAATAGAAATTAGCAATAAAAATACGTACAATTAAAGTAAAAATAAAGAATAGAATATTCAATAATAATACGAGTATTTTCATTAAAAGTAACAATTTAAAACTATCTATTTACATTGAATATAAGCAATATAAGGGTATTGGCTTTCCTTAAAGATTTTGTGTTTGTTTTCGGCGAAAATACAAGATTTAAAATTTAAAAATTTAAGCTTAAACTAAAAGAAATATATTGTCTTTGCCATTAAGATATATTGGTAAATGGCCAAAGACAAATAGTTTTGCTGAATCCAAAAAAAACAACAAAAAAAACAACAAAAAAGCCTTGTTATCATGTAATAACGTAGTATATTATCTGTCCTGTTACATAACTTATACCAGTCTTCTATGAATAAATGTCAATTGTAAACAACACAGTTAATGAACGGATTTTGTATTAATATTAGTTAGTAAGGACAAATAATTAATTAGCAGAAGAAAAACAACAACAAAATTATTCGCATTAGTAACATTAAATTATATAAGACTCGTGGTCACGTGTTACCTGTATTTGCGTTCGCATTTGTATGAATAGCTGAAAACATTAAATGTAGTTTTCATTCAACAAATGATATTGAAATACTCGTAGTTAAACATATCAGATTCTTAGCATAACGTTCAGCTTTGCAGTGGAGAAACAATAAAGTGATAACATCAATTGGCTTTTTTGAACTCCCAAGCAATCAAAGTTATATTATGCTCAAATTTGATATTTGAAAAAATGATAATTGCTATACATTCTCTTTTTAAATGAAAATAAACATCTTTTTCTACACACAGAGATTATATGTTACACACTTTAGGTAAACACATTATGAATACAAAGTGTCAGTTTGTATAATAAAAGACCAATTGAAATGGACCAGTATAGGGAATGCAGCTCACAAACATAGTTTTTGCATTTTCTCATTCAAATTAGACATATTCGGTACAAATTTCCTTGATTTCAATACGTTTCTTCAAGATGAGCAAAGTATAACTCTTTAATATTTCATAAAATATGTAGTTTTCCTCAAGTTAACCACAGAAGTTGTGTTGCCGCGTTATGCATATTAATTACTTCGTACTGCAAGAGACATACGCCAATTAAATTATGTTTATAAATAGAATTCTTTTCTAAAAATAGCAAATGTTTTAGAAATTATTCTATAAATAGAAATTCTTACCTGAATGAGAATTTGCGTTGGGTGTTGGTGCAGGGACTGTTGAATTAGGCTTGGAATTAAGCCCTGTATTTGAGTTGCCCGCAGGTTGTTTCATAATATTTGCGAGCGCATTGGAAGAGGCATCTAGAAAACAAACGTTCATATTTTAGTAAGAACTGTGCCTGAAATCGTACAGGTAACTATATTGAAATAAAATATTTAAATTATGATATTTAGAGATTAATAAAGCGTTTGTTACAGTTTATATATTTATTCGAAAAAGGTATATGTAAGATTCTTTATGAAACATTGATTGATCAAGAAAGAGATTCACATTTATTTAAAAAAAATATTTTATAGATCTATATAATCAAATATTTTTATGCAAGAGTACAAAATAACTACTAAGGTAAATTGTCAATCACAATTCGCGTTAATGCAGCTGCAAATCTTCATTAATTATATCTTATAAACTTTCAAACCATCACTGCAAGCAAGTTAATCAATGTGTCAAAAGCAATAAGAGCAAATTCAAGTTACATATTAGTAACAAATTATAAACAAAGAACTTCAAAAGTAGAAAATAATACTAAATATAGTTGCAATGTTAAGAAAACAAGAATATAAATTCTACAATTATACAAACACATGAACAGTATTTGTTTAAGTGTTTTGAAATATTCTATAATAAAAGTCGATATATGTTGCGGTATGTTTTATAAAAATGATAACAAGCAAAACCCAGGGTTTAATTAACTTTTGACATGGAAACGTTATTAAAAATATTTCCTAACAATATTATTACCTAAATTTCTAGCCACTTTTGAAAACATTAACATTGTACACTTTAAACATTTATCAAGTTAGTCTTTTTCTTTTGTACTTTTTGCCTTTACTGGCACCTCGCAAAATCATATTTTGCCATGGGACCTTTTTGCCATAGGTTAAAATGTACAAACGGTTGTTTCATACGGTTGTCTGTTAGACAATAGAGCACTTGCCATGTTTATCTCTTATTTAAGATACCCACAAAATATGAATATAAAATTTTATAACAATGACACAAGTGAATAAGGAGTACACATAAATGATAAAACTAAATAGTTGATAGGAAAGATAAGAAAAATGGTAAAAAGCCGTTTAAAAAGTCGTATGTTTCTTCAAAATCAATAAATACTTTTGAAATATGATAACGATTTTAAAAAAAAATCTTTCAATACATGTAAAACTCTCAATGAGGCATGTACATTAGTATTAAAACGTTTTAAAGAACTTTATTTTGCACTATTTCTAAATTATTATTATTCATATGAAGAATGAAAAATATACTACTTGAATAATGAGGTCAGAGTAATAAAGTAAATTACTATAATAAAGGAATAAAAGACACACAGTGCTCTTATAAAATTGCTGGAAGACACAGTGAAAATTTACCTTGGCATAACAGAGGTCTATTTGATGGAATGAAATCTAAATGGGAAACACAAACAACAATTCAGCCATGTGTAAATATGTAAACACATCTATAGTATAATTATGATAATATGTCGTGAAAATGCATACATACATAAATATATCAGTATAACACGAGTACGGTCATGTCAACGTGTATAATATTTATTTCAACTAATATTAAAAGCATTGAACATATTCATACGTTATGCATTATTTACTAATCATTAAAAACAATTATGTAACAAGCCACTTGCTAATGTATTGATAACGATATTTTCGGCAGTGATATATATATTCACGTTTAATGAATATATTTACTAATCTATATGTGAGCCATGTGTTAAATACATTAAAAACGATATTTTAGTTACACAGTTTAATTATTTACTCAAAATTCAGCCACGAGGAAATAAAAATGATAAATATTCAACATATATTTTGATTAAAAAGCATCAGTGAATAAAGCATTAATGGTGTTTAATTGAATAATCGGGTTGATATGAAAGCTGTAATCTAAATATAACACCTTCGTCCACTTTTGGTAAAACTAAAAGATCATTTATAAATAGATATAAATATATCATTTAGTAAAAACAAACACCCACCGCCACAATTAATGATAAAGAAATAGTACATTGTACTGATATATTGAGTAACTATATCGTTTACTTTAAATTTGTATTTGTATTCGTTTACTTTTGTTTTTGTATTCCTTTAATGTCCAAATGTACTTGTACCGACATTTTAGATAAATGTCAAAACATCAAAGATACATTATGCCCATCCAAGTGTAAATGATCAGTTATCAGGTAAAAATACAAAAAAAATAACTGGACGTTTTGTCATAATTTTGTTTAATTTCCTATTTTAAAATGCAAAATAAATAACCAAAACTCCACTTGACCAACAGAAATGTTCAGAAAGTATTGGAAATGCTCAATTTTTAAAAAGAGTGGGGCATTCTTTTTTATAATTAAGCTGGGACCAAATTTTTTTTGTCCCAGAATTTAGGTAGGTTTATAATACAATATATAATAAACAATTTTTCATTACAAATTATTGGTCAATCACCATAACATAATATATTACTAATTTAGCTCAACCTGGCTGCGGAAAAAATAAGCATATTGTCACTTTAACTTAACAAAACATCTCATTACATTTACTGGCTGTATTAAAGCCATGTGTATCTGGCTGTATTAAAGCCATGTGTATAATGCTTTAAAACACATGTTTATGTCATATTATATATAACTAGAAAAAGATACTGTAAAATCCATTAAACAGCTATTCTTTATAATGAAATACTACTATATATATAATATAAAAATATAAAATATTATATTATTTCGTCAAGCCAAATATTGTTTCTTTTTAGCTTGAAATACTATGTATAATGTTATATTTTTCCCTCACGCCAAAATAATTATATAACAATTAGTAGTAGATAACGAAGCAGTAAACGTTCACGTAGATTCGTTGGTTTTATAAAATTCATAAATTATATTGATTAATTCAAGAAGTATTATTTGACATATATGTGAAGAAGCACGTGATAAAAACATATTTCTTTTTAGAATATTTGCATACATATTAATTATTAAGGTAATGTAATATCCACAATAAATATATCCATAGACTTGATTCTATTTCCAGTATTATAATGTAACACTTATAAAAGATTCATCAGGTCGTAAAGCTACAAATACCTTTTTCTTCGATTTTCAAATTCACATACGTGTAAACCGAAGAATCCGGGTTTGTTTGATTGACATGTTCACAAAAAGGGAATAAAAGCAAGGAGAAGACTACTTTACTTGATTTATGACTAGAATATACAACATATTACTCCATAAAGATACCTTGATTAGGAAAAGACTTCCGTCCGGACTGAGTGAACGGTTTTCCGTCGGCTAATATAAGCAAAAAGAACAACATAATTATATATGACATATCAATAACTTATAATATAAATCAACTAGTTTTTATTAAAATAACGTTTGGTGCATTTTTGTCTTGCTGTTTGAAATAAATATATAAACCAACTATATGTTATAAATCAACTTTTTGTTAAATATTGTCGTTTCTTAAATATAAATAAACGCACTATGCTAAAAAAGAAATAGGACTGTAAAATATAAACGAATGTAAACATAATTTAATAAAGGCATTCTATGTAAAGAAATCCATTTGTCTATTGATAAAAAATAAACGAAAACACAGTTCAATATAAACATAGAATAAAGACAAAATGAACATAACAAAATGTTTATTATAAAAAAACCTGTAATAATCATATCACTTATTCCTCTTTTTTCTTTAATAGAATTTTATGATTTGTTTCATGCCTCATATGTTGATTTATGTTTATAACATTTTCATACCAAATTTAAATTTACGGAAAGATTATCTATTGCTTAGTCGTAATGGAAATCCAAAATTGGATATATTTCTATTCAAATGTAACGATTTGTGATAATTGTTGTGTTAAATGAAAGACATACAATGTTATACCCAGATGCACGTTTTAAATTAAATTCTGCAATTATGCGTATGTCCGCAACCAATAAAATTACTATACAGTATATAGAAATATCAGCAAATAATACATTATTTGGTGTGTTTTTCAATACTGGACTGAACATAAATTATCACACAACAATAATAATATCAGAAAACTCAAACAAGAATGAGGTCTCGATATTAAATCAATAAATTGTATGCACTTAAGATTACATTATTAAGGGTAACTGCAAATTCTGGTGATACATCTTAACTAATTAACATTCAATGCAGGCATATATAGATAGCTAGCATGTACATGTTTATGTACTAATCTTTGTTTGTACAAAAATATGGAAAAACGGTGATCCATCGGAAGCATTAATCACAACAAAATAACATGTAAGTTGCAAACTCGGTTTGATCGAGTATGTATATGAGGGATAATGAAATAGTGCAACATCACTCACGCCCCCCCCTAGCACCGACTAATATTTTAAATGAGAATATTTAGAAAAGTATATTATAGGATAAAATCTATTGGCATATAAGCAATAAATGACACATACTGAATTCAAATGTTATCCGATAATCAACTGACATTTAACCCGACAAACATACTAAAATAGAAAATATTTCAACCTTTAATAACGCCAATACGGCAAAATTAAAAATGTTGCAGACTCAGTTTGATTGAGTGAGTTTACGGGCGGCAATGATATGTACATGCTACCAAGCACGCCCTCTAGCACCGGCTTAAGCGAAATCCAAATTTTAAACATGAAATGGTAAAAACTTTGAATTAAGAAATATCCATATATAAAAATTACATTTGGGTTGTGAATAATAAATCACAAAAAAACTGACCAACAATGTTAGAGGTAACACACATTTTAAATTATTATCTCTATTCAACAGACTGACCAATAAGAATAGTAAGAAATTCAGAGAGAGAGAGAGAAAAAAACAAAAGTGAAATTCCGACCGAAATAACAGTGATTCAAAAAGTGCATAGATAGATAGAATTGAAAAAAAATGTGCACGGTTTTCACGAAAATGGTTGTGTATGTGTAAGGGGATAATTCGTGTACAGGGAAATAATGAGACGATATCTACCTGGGATGTTTGGATTACTTTTAGACAGCACTGTTTTTTCTTCCTTGTCTGAAGCGGTATCCGAACATTAATCATGATACAATAACTTCTTTTCAAATGAATAAGGTCAGTGCTTGATATAGCATAATTTTGTAGAGTAATGTGAAATATTTCTATATTTGTTAGCAAAAGGCATTATACATTTGGATTTTCAAGATTGCATTAATGAATATAAATGGAGTAACATAACATTTCTTGTCAGATAAATACATGTATGTTTTGAAAAGCATTCCACAAACAACATATAGGAGTATCAAGCCTTTGTCGTTGATAAATGCCGAAGGTTGCCGTAAGCTTGAAATTGCATGAAGTATTGTGTGGTTGACTTATAATGATTACACTGTATGGCATTGAAAATAATGGTCGATTGACACTAACTTTAAAATGTTTACATCAGATGTTGTAGGAAAGTTTTTACGATTTTTACAACTTCGGTATTTTGCATTATTTAAAGACAACAGTAATTTGCGATTCTTACAAATCTTTTTTGTTCACCAATCAAAAAGATTCAAAAAGATATACTCATTTGCAATATGAAAAATTCCAACAATAGGAAGTACAATAGCTGATGTTACAAGGTTTTTTCAAGAATGTTTCGCAAAGATTTATACCTACAATTCTGGTCCTCACAAATACTTATATTACATGTATTGAAATTTCAAATGAATATAAAGTCAAATATGTAATATTGATTGATAGGTATGTCTTAGAATTGCAACTGAGCGGAAACATAGCAAAGAGAATATGACTAACATTGATAATGTAACCATATTGAAGCAAATGTCTACTGTATAATTACTATTTCAATTAAATAATAGTGACAATACTTGCATTGAAAAAAGTCTGCTACATAAAATGATCTTATGATTAAGAGAAAGCTTATGTTGAAAAAAATGTAAGAATTCAATATGTTTGATTTTCTGCAACAAAACATAGGAATGATAGACAATTATATCGCACAGAAACCTGAAGAAAAAGGATTCTGGTAATAAATTCCTACGTCAGATGGCGGACAAAAGAGTAAGAATATAGACATACACATACACAAGCAATATAAGCCAATTAAAGTGTATATTACAGTAAGCTTTAAACAGAAAAATAATGACAGATACAGGAGAGACTCTTTTTCCAAGGTGTAAAACCCAACACAACATCTACCACAATACACACTTTGATATATATATAAATATATATATATACATCAGAGTTGTCGCACTTCTTTCGCCACGACTATCGCTGGGAAAGCGTGACACTTCTGTTGTATATACTTCAAATACACACCGAATCGAGGAATCAAAAAAGTATCACCACACCAGGACCGTGAGAGGGGTTTGTGCGCATAAATACTAACCGGAAATCTCAGTGACTTTTAGGGGAGTGCCGGGATTAGATGTAATTTCTACAAGTCTTGGTGTATTCTTCACTTCAGATGCATTGGGTCGGGATCGGGGTGGCATGCCGGGAGTTGATTCTTCCTTATCTGTATGGTTCATCATTAACATAGGTATGCTCTCCTCACCATTTCGGCCTAACATGAAATATGAATATTATTTGCACGCTCAGACATACCATTTCCATATGGATGCTATTTATATTGAACTATTTATTCTAAAACATTTGTCATGATTCACATTATTTTAAAAGAGTTTCAACATTTTTATCTTGTATCGTCTCTTTTCTAACGGGGTATCAAAATTTTACATTGACAATGATGAATTTCTTATTGAATACGTTGGTCAATTAATATAGAATAGATCTTATGCTTTTGACGAAATATATGACTTTGAAAGAGCGGTGGTTTAACTTTATGTTTATAAGTAGCGGCGCATAAGTTCTCCATTAATGTTTACTGTCAATGTTTAATTGGTACATTCACTTGGAATTTTGGTACGCTCTGCATTTACGGTACATGTAACAATAAAAAGCCATATGTATGCATATATATTTTCCCGTGATTTAATGTAAAGTATATTAACATCAATTTTGATCAAAAATTTAAATGTATTCATCTGGAAAGCTATTTCACAATTAGCTCAATTGTTCAATTTAGAAGAAGAAAAATCAGAATACTAAAGAAGTATGATGTTTAACCAAAACCAACAAAAGCCATAATTATATTTCAGATTTCATTGTTGCAGTTGAACACAATTTATGTAGAACATAGTAAACAAAATAAAGAGAGAATTTATACAAAAAATATATCTTCACAAATCATACAATAAGCAAATTAAAGCAAACTTAAACAAAAAATGAGAATAACACTGACAATTCAAATGCAGATAAATACAATTAAGTAATCTTAAAAATTAATTTATCACTTAAGATTTCATCATTTGATGCATAAAGTGATTTTAAAAGTTCAAGAACGCACTACAAAAGAGAATGATTTAATTCGTTTTCAAAACCAATAAGATACAACAAACATAAAATTTTAAAACCTACCTTTAAATCAACATGATTTTGATTTATAGGGAGAAAAAGTTAACGTGAAAAGTATCCTATATTTATGGAACCTAAAAGTGTTTTTTTTTTCAGGAATGTCAAATTTAAAAAGAAATATTTAGATGTGTTATTGTGCGCGCTTTGATATGTTCAGTGTCGGTGAGGATACAATAGATTAAATATAGCCGTTTTCATTTTTTTATGAAGGAATTATTTCGATAGTCATGCGTTTTAAGTGTTTAATTCATATATTGACTCAAGTCATAAGACGTAATATATGTAAACTGTAAAGGACAACTGAAGTTTAAAGCGTGTTTCGCAAAAGATCAGATCATTACTTAAAGTAATCTGTATCTTAAATATAAAATTTCCAGTTATTAATTTTGCCCCCATCCCTCGCATTTTGGTACCCCCCTCCCCTCCTCCTATTTTTACCCCATTGCTGTTCTTTGCCTATTTTCTGGTGCTATGTGTCGTGTCTGTGAGACAAAAATATTATAGAAGCTGGACTTCTGAAACGGTGCACCCATTGGTTCACCTTATGCCTAATCTATTATCCTAGAATTAAGCAACTGTCTAGAACATTGGTGTTCATATAAGTACAAAAACTAAGTGACCTATATCAATTGAAATTATTGCTCACAAATTGGTTGGTGCGTATACTTAGTATAATAGAAAATTAAATTTTGATTATTTCATTAAATTTATATTTCAAAAAAATGCCAGAATTTTGTAACACCTTATAACTCGAGGTAAGCTAACATTGCATAATAATATGATAATTACGCTAATAATACATTTGGTTGTTAAGTTGTCCTTTACGTTTAACAAGTGGCTTTAAATTCACAACAAGTAAAGTAAAATTGAAAAAAAAACACAAAGATTTGAAAAAATAACAATTAGTGTGTGATCAAACTGGAAGAAGACATTTTGTATTTTGAACAATCAAATATATTTCATTCAAACAGTGTATTTCTGCAAACTTGGTAGGGTTTAGAATATAAACCTCATCATACAGTAACACAAAAACAAATATGAAGAATATGTTCTTTTCTTAACAGACAAAAAGTTGTTTTTCTAATGTGGATATATTTCGTTATGATTTTTCACTTAACAACGCCAACACCCAAAATAACATGTTATTCCATTTTCCCCGCAAATTTAAAGTGTTAACTAATTTAAACATATCATCATGACAAAAAGAAACCACACTTATATTTTCATTATTATAATGATAATAGTTATTAATTATTATTATTAATTCCGCCTTTAAGTGAGTCTGCAGAAATACATTACTACAAGGACGTTGGACCTGGGAAATGATATCTTTAACTCTCACTATTAGCTTAAAGTCAAAAGCAATGTCAATATATAAATTAATCTGACTCAGAAAAGCTCTTAACAGTTCCGAGAAGATTGCACTTTTAAGAAAAAGCTTTTTTACATAGTTTAAGTCAAAACAAAAATTTAACTCATAAAGATTAAAGAAAGACTTTGGGCTTGCAAACGCTGAAAACCTATTCCTAATACCAAATTAAATAGTGGTATGAACACACTAACAATGTCGACAGTATACAAATAAGTATAAATATAAGCTTTTTAGACACCACTAGAATTATTTTTAGACACCACTAGAATTATTTTTAGACACCACTAGAATTATTTTTAAACACCACTAGAATTATAAAAGAGGACTGAATATAGTTTTTGTACGTCAGTTGTGTTTTTTTTTTCATTGCGTTCGCCTGGTTATGCTTTCATTAACTAAAAGTCCAACGTTCTTGTAATATGTAAATAAAGTCTTAAAAAAATGTCCGCATGCCCCTCTTTTCTTGCATGTCATAGGCCTACCTACTGTTTCACTATAGTAATAATATCTTGGACCTGTTTGAAATAAATACTTTGTTAGTAGCACAAGTAAGCTTTTACAACATAGTATAAAGTTATCCCGTTCACACTGCTAGATTTACAACTTGTATATACATTGTTTGGACAATTATAAGCTTATGCACTTTGTTCGGTTAACATTGTTTGATTAAGTTAAGAAAAAAGAATCATTTCAGAAATGAGCTGATTCTTATTTTATCAAATTTCTAAGAACCTTTTTCCAAGCATTTGCAAGACAGTTTAGATTTGTCAATACATTATAGAACAACAGAGAACCAGCTTTTGACGATGTATTGCTAACGTTATCAATGTATTGCTATATGTATCAATGAATTGTGAACTGTTTTGCTAACTGTATCAATGTATTGCTATATGTATCAATGCATTGTTAACTGTATCAATGTATTGCTAACTGTATAAATGTATTGCTAAATGTATCAATGTATTGCTTACTGTATCAATGTATTACTTAAGTGTATCAATGTTTTGCTAACTTTATCAATGTATTGTTAACTGTATCAATGTATTGCTAACTGTATCAATGTATTGCTAACCGTATCAATGTATCGCTAACCGTATCAATGTATCGCTAACTTTATCAATGTATTGTTAATTGTATGAATGTATTGCTAACTGTATCAATGTATTGCTAACTGTATCAATGTTTTGCTAACTGTATCAATGTATCGCTTACTTTATCAATGTATTACTTAAGTGTATCAATGTATTGCTAACTGTATCAATGTATTGCTAACTGTATAAATGTTTCGCAAAATGTATCAATGTATTGTTAACTGTATAAATGTATTGCTAACTTTGTCAATGAATTGCACACTGTATCAATGTTTTGCTAACTGTATAAATGTATTGCTAACTTAGTCAATGTATTGCTAACTGTATCAATGTATTGCTTACCGTATCAATGTATCGCTAAATTTATCAATGTATTGTTAATTGTATGAATGTATTGCTAACTGTATCAATGTATTGCTTACCGTATCAATGTATCGCTAACTTTATTTATGTATTGTTAACTGTATCAATGTATTGCTTACTGTATCAATGTATTGCTAACTGTATCAATGTATTGCTAACTGTATCAATGTATTGCTAACTGTATCAATGTATTGCTAACTGTATCAATGTATTGCTAACTGTATCAATGTCTTGCTAATTGTATCAATGTATCGCTAACTTTATCAATGTATTACTTAAGTGTATCAATGTATTGCTAACTGTATCAATGTATTGCTAACTGTATAAATGTTTCGCTAAAATGTATCAATGTATTGTTAACTGTATAAATGTATTGCTAACTTTGTCAATGAATTGCTAACTGTATCAATGTATTGCTAACTGTATCAACGTATTGCTTACTGTATCAATGAATAGCTTACTGTTTCAATGTATTGCTAACTGTTTCAATGTATTGCTTACTGTATCAATGAATAGCTTACTGTTTCAATGTATTGCTAACTTTGTGAATGTATTGCTAACTGTATCAATGTATTTCTTACCGTATCAATGTATTGCTAACTGTATCAATGTATTGTTAACTGTATAAATGTATTGCTTACTTTATCAATGTATTGCTAACTGCATCGATGGATTGCTAACTTTATCAATGTATTGTTAACTGTACCAATGTTTTTTTCTAACTGTATCAATATATTGCTTACTGTATCTATGTATTACTACTTGTATTAATGTATTGCTAACTTTGTCAATGTATTGCTAACTGTATAAATGTATTGCTAACTTTATCAATGTATTGCTAACTGTATCAATGTATTGCTAACTTTATCAATGTATTGCTTACTGTATCAGTGTATTGCTAATTGTATTAATGTATTTATAACTGTAAAACTTGTATACCTCTTTTGAAATTAAATTGAAGTAATTTTATGCAGAATATAATTATCATAATATTACCAAATATTTAAACATTAAAAATGTTGACACAAATGTGAACGAGTACCTTCATAATATCAGCAGTGATATAACACATTTAAATCAGTATAATTGCTGGACAAAACATACAATATACAAAGAATGGTTGGTGTTAGAAGCGAGAAAAATAAATCTGTAACATTTTTCTATAAAATCTCCTTCAACAATTGAAAATACATTATGCCCATATTTCATTTTCTCAAAGTTTTTTTTCTTTCCAATATAAAACAATGTGTATGTTTTAAAAACGCCTCTTGTATAGCCGTATAATAAAAAACATTGCTTCATTAAATAATTTATCAATAAATGAGCCACGTCACGACAAAACCAACATAATGTTTTTGCGACCAGCATGGATCCAGACCAGCCTGCGCATCCGCGCATTCTGATCAGGATCCATGCTGTTCGCTTACAAACCCTATTACAAGTAGAGAAACTGATAGCGAACAGCATGGATCCTAATCAGACCGCGCGGATGCGCAGGCTGGTCTGGATCCATGCTGGTCGCAAACCCATTATGTTGGTTTTGTCGTGACGCGGCTCAAATTAATATTAAAGTGGATTGGTCTACAATGGGCATATTTTCCATAAGTATTTCAAAAACGGATAAGAACAAAAGTAAATCATTTTGGTATTATTATGAAATATTACTCGAAAAAAAACGTTGATAAAGTTCTAAGTGATTAAGTATGAATATTTATATAATGAATAATAATATTTTGTTCTAGAACAATTTATTACATAAAAATATGTAATACCGGATCATGTATCTTACACTTGCCAACAACGTGCATATACATGTATAATTCTTTCAAAGTTTGTTGTTATGTTTGTTACTAAAAATAGCTTTAACTTTATTGTTTATTGTATCACAGGCCTACAATTATAGACCAATTCACTTTAAAGGTAAATTTATCATTTTATCAAAATGTGGGCACAATATATCTTTAATATAATTGTATACTTAAAGTATACAAGTAAAATATGTAAATATAAATACACGTTTTCATTATAATATATACAATAAAAGATCACTCTTCACAAATGTTTATATGACAACGTAACAATGCCTTATTATACAAAAAAAATCATATGAATTGTAGTATTAGCAGAAATTGCTTTTTAAAATGAGCCACGTCACGACAAAACCAACATAATGGGTTTGCGACCAGCATGGATCCAGACCAGTCTGCGCATCCGCGCAGTCTGATCAGGATCCATGCTGTTCGCTATCAGTTTCTTTACTTGTTATAGGGTCTGTTAGCGAAAACAGCATGGATCCTGATCAGACTGCGCGGATGCGCAGGCTGGTCTGGATCCATGCTGGTCGCAAACCCATTATGTTGGTTTTGTCGTGACGCGGCTCAAATACATCATCACAAATTGTAAATGAATTTATGTACATCGATTATTTGCTGACCGCATGAATATAAATATTATGAAAGTATTAATAAATCATAACTCAATAAACTGTTTCTGTGATAATGCTAGGGGTTATTTTTTTAAAAAAAGAATAAGGTCAGTAATGAAACAAACAAGTAAAAATACTTTAACAACAGCCGACTGTACGTTTTCAATCGATTTTTTGACTAGATCTACAAAATTCCTTTTTTAAACCTGTTTCTTTTCTTTAATAACTCCTATGAGTACAAAGTTGTCCCGGGGTTATATATTTAAAAAAATGTTTGTACCTCTAGATAGGAAAAGCATTGAAGAAAATAACAACATAATCTAAGATATGATTTAATGTTTGGACCAAGGAGATTGCAGCTATATTTAGAACATATAAACATATTATTTAATATCGATTACACTTTGCACGAAATCATTTCTTTAACAAATATATACAATTGTACAGCCATACGACCGAAATACAAAAAAAATGATACTGTACAAATAATTGTTTTTCACAATATATTGAAAAGTCTTCAAAAATATCTTGGTGCTATATAATGACATGTGTATTTGGATTTCCTTTTAAACTTTTTGTACATTTTTACTTTAAAAATTTGTACAAAGTTTTAGATACAGCCATAGCATAAAATCTATAAAAAGTGATAGTCAAACAAAATGCCATAAATTAAGTCACATATATTGTTATTAAAAAAAGCTTGTTAATATAATGGTTATGTGGAATAACTGTATAAGACAATAATGCTTTACCAAACATTGTGAAGCAATTGTTTATTTGTATGTAGAATTCCTGGGAAAAGGTTAACAGGAAAAGTTTAACAATAATACCGTACTATATTTAATTATATCATAAATTTGCAAACATGTATTAGTTTCTTTTTTTCCCCCATTAAAGTCATGTATTAGTATCTTCATTGTCATTAAAATCAAAACGTTTCCTTTTTTCTTTTTCTTTTACAAAGATCTACCTATATCAATAGACACCGTGGTAAAACCTACGAGGTTTAGATACTGAAAAGTCATAAAGTTGTATTTAAAGATGTATTGGATGTATTTAACCATAACAAATGAATGTAAGTTTGTTTAATGGTAAGAGATCCATGACTGTAAGTAATACGATAGAACACTCATTTACAACTCCACAAAATCTTAAGTCTCTTAGCCCTCTGATGAATGCTGTAGTTGCTTTTCAAAATAAAAACTAGTTTCACTTTTGAATTTGACGTCATTGTATTTGACGTCTTTGAATGTGACGTCATTTGTATGTTACATATTTGAATGCGACGTCTTAGTATGTGTCATATTTGAAATGACGTCTTTGAATGTGACGTCATTGTATGTATGTGTCATATTTGAATGTGACGTCTTTGAATGTGACGTCTTTGTGGTTCCGGTCAATGAGCTCTTTGCTATTGAAATAAACTTACTTTGATAATACGGTATGATCATGTGCTGTTATGATATTAACGGCTTACAGAGTTGAAGTTAATCGTTGCAAACAACATACCTTATTATATAAATACACTCGACAAAAGTTCCAAAGAGACCATTAAATGATGAAAAATAATCAGAATATGGTTTATTGTGTATAATTTGAATATAATTAAAAATGAAAATAGGAGAAAAATGAAAAACGCATGTTTTAAACATCAGATTTGTAAATTCGTTCTCTATGATGCATTGTGCCATATTGTGCAATACCCTCTTATTCAAAAGTTGCAATTCAATATATTGCGTGTCGTTTTCCCACCAAATATCGGTCGTTATTTTTTGATGCATTTTAGTCCAATAAAAGAATGCGATAGACCAACCTATAATTAGACTTTAAATGGTTCTGTACGTACATTCCCTACATGCGAAATCGAATTATTATTTTTTAAAAATGATTTGTTGAAAACACACAATGCATCAAACGTGTAACTTTTGGTTTTAGGGATAATGTGGATTGATTGATTGATTAATAGTGAAATAACGAATGTGAATTTTACACTATTGAATGCATTGCAAATTTTCCTTTCATGTCTACATTAATATTATATTAACTGCAACGATTACTGCTTATTCTACAAAATGAAAGGGTCTAGCAGAAACATGTGTTTAGAATATGCATACACTTTGTCGCTCTTATAATGTGAACAAAACATATATTGTTGATGATGTTTTTTTACAATGCAATAGTGTAACTTAATATTAAATGTTCATTCTTTTAAAACCTATACGTAGGGTGGTCAAATTCGACTCAAATCCTATATTTAAAAAAAAATGTCTTCAATGTTCGAACGGAACTAGTTTATGTCTATATCTAAAAGCCATTTATGATTTTCGAATACCGTACCAAAACCATAGCAATAGAGTGAAAAGTGCCGAAGAAAAATCTTGAAACCCACTGTTTCAATAGTGCATTAACAACATCTAATTTTCCCAAAACCAGTGAAAGCATAAAGCGATATCTCAAATAACGAAACCCCGCGTGAAAAAACACATACCAACACTCGTTCCATAATGGTACGGACCTAAGGGAAGAGAGGTAACTTTTGATTAGATAAATAGATTTGTGCTTTCAGAGTTGTCTCGCTTGCATTATTCTAAGCCACCAACAACCAACCGCAGCGCTCGCATGGCATGCCAATATTAACTATGCTAATATTTAATTGTTTTTGAGATTTGAGTCAGATCTTTTTTGTGATTTCTTTTCTTGCTTTTTTTTAAATTTCTTTTAAAATGTTTGAAATTTTGAATTTACTTGTCATCGGTGTGATTCACAATGTTTAAATGAGTGGAGTTATAAAACGCGTAGCTTTTTTTAAAACATTCTATCTTAAATAGTTACGAATATAACCCATTTTATTCTACAATTTTCATTTTGAATCTTCTTACAGGTTTCCTTTTTTTTTACTTTGGCACGTGTCTGACCTTTTTATAGCACAATGAATTATCATGGCTGTCCCTGTCTGGAAATGTCTGTTCCATACAACAAAAGAAAAGGTTACACCGTTTTGCTTTATATAATCGATTGTTCTGCTTTATTTTTTGAGATGACATAATGATTAAAATGTTGATCCATCGGCCAAATGTTACTGCTCACATTCATTTTTATAATGCAATAATATTTTGCATTTGTAGGGAAAAATCGATGTTATGAAATGTAACATATTTTGCAAGTATAATTTCTAATCTTGAATTGGTAACACAAATATGCTACATGATCCTGATCTGGCCAATGAAATACGTTTTAATATTCCGCGAAGAGAGCTTGTGCGCTTAAATATTATAAGCCGTACTTAAATATTATAACACGTACTGAAATGTTATAGCACTTAAATAGCATAGCACGTATTTAAATATTATATCACGCACTTAGATATTGTATCACGTACTTAAATATTACAACACGTACTTGAATACGTACTTAAATATTATAACACGTTCTTTAATATTATGACAAGTACTTATATATTATAACACGTACTTAAATAGTATAACACGTACTGTTGCAGAACAAAAATCTAGTCTACAGTGTTCGTGCTAAAACGAGACAAATAATAAACGTATATGTATTGATTATTACATTATATATCATTTTCTAAATTAGATATAATACATAATAGATATAAGCATCATTCATTATACACATATATATGAGTTGTTTATATGTTTATTATACGTTTTATATGTACACGATGCGTGGTTCTCGTAATCTATCAATACTTTATTATTACTTTATAGTTGGGGGGATTTCTCGACGTAAATATTATGAGATGACCCCCGTAACAATAACGCATGCGCTGTAGCTATGCAAATTTGAATATAATGCTACATATATATATTGAGGTAAAATGACTTTAGCATGAATATCACACCACCACTACTGCTACTTTCATGCACATGCACTGATCAAACCAGTCAAGCTGAAAATCAAATATCAAAAATTCTTGGTTTGTTTCACTTTTCATCATGTCCAAACCACTTGTGTGTCCGAGTAAAGAGCTTTTTGTTGGCGACGCCGGTGAGCGGCGTCGTCTCTTATTAAATGCTTTTTATTTTGGCCTATGGAAGGAGCTGTTATTATTAGCAGTTAATGTCATGTTGTGTTAATTAGTTTTATTTTGATTCGTAAAAATCAAGTAAACAAATATGTTGTTAAATTTGTATTTAATAACTTTATGTAAAAAGCATGTGCATAGTGATATTTTTTTAACGAAATTGCAGGCTCAGTTTAACAGCTTGTGTTGTGTATAGAATTCACTTAGATAACCCAAGTAACAGTTTAAGAAGTTTATGACCTTAACAGCACACTACTCTGTGGTTTAAAAGGAGAATTTCAGACTAGTTTCAATACCGGCAAAATGGTAACAGCCAACATAGAGGAACGGCACATACTCGGGAGGAATTTTTTTATTAAGCCAATTGTTTTGTCTTCAAATCTTTTAAAATGTGGATGTATGTTTGATTTTTTTTTCGTACATGTTTCCACATTTAAAAAGAGTTTAAGGGGGAAAAAATAAAAAAATGGCTAAATAAAAAAGTGCCGTACCCCTATGACAGCCAACCAATCCAATTCTCTAAACTCCACTCGGACACAAGAAGGCTGCGGAAACAAAAATTCATTACAAAAACAAGTGAATACAAGACATGTCAGATTTTCTGTTTTGATCAGTACATTTTATATATATACAGTATAAGTGACATTTGGTTTCAAACAATGCAATGCATGTCAAACACACACTATAGTATATGCAAAGCGCTTTTTAGCCTTATTTCGATATTTCATACATATTCATAACTGTTTACACCAGTTTATTCTGATACAAATTTGGAAATAAAAATGTATTTATTACTTTAAACATAAAGCTATTTTTAGAGCAGAATATTCACACAGTATGCCTCGTGCGTGTACAATAAATATGAGTATGTGTAGTCCTCGAAATCGATAAATCTATTTTTAGTAGCAGTAGCAGTAGTGCTCGGTAAACCGTAAAAATGAGTGAAAGGTGCGTAATGTTTATGATATATTTCGATAATTGGTATGTAAGATCAAAGGAAAATCTCAAGTGAGTAGCTAACAATTACATTTATTATTATCTTTCAGAGTCAAGGTTTACCTGTAACACAAGTATTATTGACAGTAAGTATACATGTAACTATCAGCTATATTTCAAAACGTTGCATAAAACACACTTGTTGGTTATGTAACCATTGCAAACACAGCTTGCTTGCAACATGTGAACGTACTTGAGTTTACAAATTTGTCATATTTAAATCTTATTTTTTCAATTATCAATAAAAATGAAATTTCTCCGAAGAAGTACACTTTTCCAAACATATACATTGATTTGAATGGAGCTATTTTTAACTCACTGAAAGAAACATTTTGAGGTGGATTTGTCGTCAGGGTACCAACGCAATTATGTACGCCTTATACCAAATTGCACGTTCACATGTCGCGTACACATGTAGCCTACACATGTAGCCAACACATGTATAGCCGCTGTACAAATGTCAACAAATTGATTAAATGTCTCGGCAAACCCATGCGTTTCATAACTGCATGAAAACATCACTGACAACTTTATTTATATTTATTTGTAAAACATTCAAGTGTATTTTAAATTTATTTTTTTATAATTCAACAGTAAAACATGGAAAAAAGCTAAATAATCTTCAATTCAAATAACTTGACTATTACAAAATGTAAAAAACAACAACTAAATTTGTTTTCTTTTATTTTTTTCCCCCCACCAAAAAAAAATTATATTAACATGTTGTAAGAAAGACAACCGCGCATGCGCACACACATAATTCTTTTCATACAGGTAGGCCCTATCATAATTGAAAATTTGTTTCTGTAAAATTAAACATTTTACTTATCTTTTATGTGTCGAATTGTATCAAAATTGAGCTTATTCGTTTATGACGAAAGGCGATGACATCATAAAATTTATTTGAACATATTAAACAAAAAAATGGCCTACTAGTAGATAATTTTCAAATATAGACTGGTTAAGACATTCGCGTAAAGGACGTAAAAACGTCAACGTGTATGCAGTGATGTTTTCATGCTTTCAAAACTGTTTGTTCTGGTCGAACTTACTACAGAACGGTAGCATATTCTCCAGTGCTCCACCCATTGCTATTGTTCATAAAAACATACAATATAACATTAACTAACGACCTGCATTATTTATAAACTTATGAACTGTATTGCAATGGGTCTGAGGCGATTTCAACTTTGGTTCGTGTTTTCAATACATAATTGATCTGCATGTGTAAAATTGAATTTAAAATTAGAATATTTCAGATAACTAATGTTAAAACTTACTGATATTTGTACTTATAAGTACTTATTTAAGAAAAATTAAAATATTTTAGGGCAAAGAATTTTTCAACAAATGGTAAACTATCCTAATACTTGGTAAGTACTTACATGTATTTAATATTGACCTATCATATGAGAGTAAACATGAATTACTTGAAAAACGATATAATTGATTTGGTTATGTAAAATTGAATTTATAATTTCGGGGCAAAAGTTTTTTTTAGCAAATGATAAATTTTACTAATACTTGTTAAGTACTTCTTTAAGAAATGATAGTGAACATGAATTACTTAAGAAAGAACATTTTTACTATTTGCTAAAGATACACCGAAATTTCTTATAACGCAAATATGCATTTTGGGATACATTTGAAAAGTTTCATATCTTAATTAAAGAATAAGATGTCATGTTTTCAGTATGATATGTATAACACGTACACATGTTTAGTTATAAAATATAATGTTATATGACATAATATGATATAATAGACATAAGTGAATTGGGGAGATATTTGTGATAAGAATATTGAAAGTAATAAAAGCGGTGCTACGGGATACAAAAGCATCATAACGGTCAGTTGAATAAAATTGAATTTTTAGGAAAAAAGTTCAGTCAAAATATTACAGAGATATCAATTTTACGTATTAAACTTACAAGCAAAGACAATTTCATTTATACAAATTAAAGCACAAGGATCTTTAAGATAAAAAGTTGAGTTTTATATATAATAATTGTATGAAATGAACTATACTCGTTATGATAACATTTTCAATTGTAAGTTTTTTAGAAGAAGTAATTGTTAAATTAAATTGTATGTTAGTTCCGTGATAAATCAAATGTTGCTCTTACCCATTCTCCCCATCTTAACGTCCAAAGCGCCCGGATGGGAATGTTTTATTGCGTTCATTCTTCTGTTCTGTGGTCCCCCACCCCCGGGTCCTCCTCCACCGACGCCCTTGGGGCCTTTAGGTCCCCTTGGAGCCTCAACTGGTAAAACTCTTCTCCTCTTTTTCGGTAATTTAGATCTCGCTTGAGTATGAGAATAGAAAAGGGCAAAGTTACTCACTATAACTGGGACCGGAAGTGCAATGGTTAATACACCAGTGAGCGCGCACAACGAACCAACAAACATGCCGACATAAGTTTTTGGGACCATGTCACCGTACCCTACGGTTGTCATTGTTACAATGGCCCACCAGAGTCCAACTGGAATACTTTCGAAGTCATTGGTTGGGTTATATTGAATCCGCTCCGCATAGAAAATCAAAGCGGCGAAAACTACAATACCTAATACTAGGAAAAATATTAGTAGTACTAGCTCCTTTGCACTAGCTTTAAAAGTGTGTATTAAAATTTTGAGACCGGCAAAATGGCGTGTTAACTTGTATAGACGCATAATACGTATTATACTGAAAAACTCCAAGATGTCGCTCTCTTGTTTCAATTTGGTTAAAAGGAAGTCTAGATAAAAGGATAGGGTTGCCACGATGTCGATTATATTGACAGGTGCCTTTAAAAAGTCTAACTTCACAGGTGCGACTACAAAACGTATAATTATTTCAAACGTAAACCACGCATTGCTGACACACTCTATATAAAAGAACGCTTCGTGAGGTTCCGTCCTTTCTTTTTCTAATCTCCAAGTTACGTTCCTGTCGGAAATATTGGTTGTAGCGTTACTAAGGACAGGTACTCGCATCTCCGGATGAGTCTTTAAACAGAATGATAGGATTGACACTATGATGAAAAACACGGATACAACGGCGATGATCTGAAATATAGAAAAATAAAATTTTGATAGAGGGGTCGTCTCAAAGTTGTTAAACGACATGCTCGTCATATATGTATAAATATATATAAATATATTTAAAGGGACCGTTTCAACATTATAGAATACAAAAAGCAAGCGTTTATGTAATAAAACTAGGACATAGAAACGCAAGATCAATCGTATGACATTTCTAATATTGTAAAAAAATACAAGAAAGCTCTGTTAACATACACTGTAAGTATGAAAAAGAAATACTATTTTGATAGGCCATCTCACCAGCGTCAAACTATATATAGGTGCAAACACAAGAGCTAAGTTGGTAACGTAAAGCAAAATAAAATAAAACAAAAACTTGCAAGATTGGTGAATTTTCGGACAGGTCATATGGCTGTGTATACATGGTTGTTTGCAAAATAACTCTGACCCCCGCTTCATATAATAAGGTTACATCCTTTATACTATTAGTTATAAAGATTTTTTTGACAGGTTAATGGCCCTATATAAACGTCTGTTTGAAAATATAACCCGAGCCACTAGGCGATATTGCAAGCAAACGTTTATATACGGCCATATAACCTATCAGGAATCTACATATCGAATTTATAATACAACAAACTTCCTTTTTAGAGGAAAAAAGTGTGATTTCTTTATAATTGTCAGTAGCCGTGTATATGAAACTATATAACCGTCACGATTATCCAATGAAAAGCGACGTTACAAACGTGCAGTATTATAAGAAACTTTATTACCCTTCCAGACTTGTTTCGCCTTTTTGATTGGATATTGATCACCCGACGAGCCAGACGGGTAATATACACACTAAATTTCCCCGTTGGGTACCCCATGTTCTAAACAACATGCGCTGTGGCGATGCGCGTACGGTTGGACTTTACGCGATGTAAATTCCGATTTACAAGCAATTTTTAACTGTCAAATGATAAAGATTTACCAAAATAGAGTAAGCATACATATTTTCATCAGTATTGAAAACAAATATGACCTTGTGAACGCTTGATATTAATTCCAAAAAAGTGCGTTCAACAGACTTCTACTTTACTTTTGTATACATTCGTTAGGTTGGAAAGAAAATACGTCATGTATTTATGTGACGTCATGTAGTGATGAAGGGGTACCCTAAAGGGAATCTTATTTCGACGTTTCATTTGAAGTAGCAATTATTTTTTTAAATCGTCTTAACTCGGCAGGGGAAGGGTAATAAAATTATTATTTTGGTTTTGGAGTGATATATGTGGATATATTACCTGCCAAGATAAAATATCACCCTCGCCTAACGGCTCGGGTGATATAAAATCTTGACAGGTAATATATCCACATATATCACTCTAAAACCGAAATAACATATAATATAACCGTCGCGATTATCCAATGAAAAGCGACGTTACAAACTTGCAGTATTATACTGAACCATATGACCTGTCTAATATTATAACTAATATATACTGCCAAATGGACAAAATAATACAATTTTGGGAATTAAAGTAGTAAAATGCCAAGTAACCAAATTGTTAGGTATCATAATTTGCCAAAATCAACTTATAGATCAATGACTAACGGTTTCAAAACGTTTGTTTTAACCTTCCTATATATACATGGATTCTTTTTTGCCATATATATGGAGCCATTGATATTGTCAGAATCGTCTAAGGTTCAATATCAAACTTATTATCTATATATTCTACACGATTATCTAGATTAATAGAGAGAAAAAAACGATAAAAAGACAGCTATTGTTTTCCATATTTAGAGCTCAGCATACTGACATTTTTTTTTCTTCAAAATATCATCTACGTCTATGCATACAGTAAGAATGTCATTAGGTGATTGTATGTCTACGTTTTTATAGTATTGATGTATTGATTCAAATATTACTGCAGTACATGTATCGTGCAATTTTGATATAACAGTTTAGTGAATGTTCTTGTACATATATATCCATATAGATGTATATATTTTATTCCAACTTTTATGTTAATACAGCGCGAGAGAGCACTTCGAGTATAGCACTATACTCGATCAATATCTACAAAAACATATCGTAAGTTTTAATGAAAAAGGCGCAATAAAATCTTAATCACCCTCACCATGACATATAGAATAAAACAAGCAGAGGTCTTTGATATAGTATCAAGAGAATTTTACATAATTATGTTACTTTTCATTAAAGAGAAGAGGAAAAAAAAACTTCAAGACAAGGACATCGTTCAAATACATTATCACTCTGCTTTTATAGCATTGCGTATTTATAAACGTCACATCTCGCTTTTTCCCTCTACATCGTCTATTTAAGGCCATTTTGATTGAACTCAGAAAATGTATATTTGTAACCATTCAGTAGAATGAAGAAGCCGTGTCTTGTACGGGAAAATCGACGTTTCCATGGTAACCGGGCATAAAATGGCTTACAATAGTTCGTCAGTCTAAACGTATTTTGCTACAGTGAGAAGACATTGAAGCTATGTATAATTTTCTGATAAAAGATCGTCATCTGATAGCCGGTATGCCTTAAAGCGACAGTATATACAATATATACAGTTTAGTAAATTTGATGTAGAGATAGTATAAATAAATACTGGCCAAAATGGTTTTGGAAAATGACCGTTAAATATATATGGTTTAAATGTTAATATTAATATTAAGCTCGATTGCAAAACAAGTTCTTGCAACATATCATTCTTGCAACTTATATTAATCACTTTCGAGTCCGCTTCCTGGAACCAACCAGTACCGGTGTCATATGAAGAAACATGGTCGAGACCTAAGTAGGGCTCGAACCCTTGATCCCAGGGTTGAGAGGCAGATACCTAAATCACTAGGTCATTACTCTCTTTTCTGATAGTAGTTATGCCTAAAGGCGACAGTATACACTATACAGTTAAGCAGTATAAATATAAATATATAACCTTTATAAACTGACATAATAAAATAATTAAGCCAAATATAAGTGAATATTTCTTCCAAGTTTTTTAAATGAAAATTTTAGAATTTCTTGATCGATTATAATACTAATTTTTGACAATGAGGTTTCCGTTATTATCATGATCAAAAGGTAATTAATATGAAGGGGACTTGCCATTTCTATGCTTAACAGAAAGGTGTTACATTGGAAAAGAAATAAAAGCATCTTTGATAAAAAGAAAAGGAATCTTTGGAAACAAAAACAAAAAAGCATATTTAAAAACAAAGAAATAGCAGAATCTTGAAAACTAAAATTCTCTTTTAAAAACTTTAATTACAACCATCTCTTAAAACAGACACTGGCATCAATTAGTTTCTTTGAAAACAGACATTGTCTTCAATTGCCGTCTTTAAAAACATACATTGGCAACAATTAGCATCTTTGAAAACAGAGATTGGCATCAATTAGCATCTTTGAAAACAGACATTGGCATCAGTTAAGCATCTTTGAAAACAAAAACTTGCATCTGTGAAACAAAAGCACAAACATGCTAAAACATGACACTGACTGTGTTATTTCCTACTGTTGTATAATATTACTATATAATATGTTTCTCATAATATATATAGATCTATATCGTAGAGTCCAACCTTACTTTAGGTTCGTTTACAACTTAACCATTTATTTTACTTCTTACTCAAAGGCTTAGAATATTGATTTCATGCTTAACAATGTTGTACTGAAATATATCAGATGATTGTATAGAGGATATTTGTTTAGTTCAGTGTAAGATCGGAATATATTTCACCGAGTGAGCACCGAAAGGTATATTTCACGAGTGGCGCAGCCACGAGTGAAATATGAACTTTTGGTGTTCACAAGGTGAAATATATTTCAATCTTCCACTAAACTAAACAAATTTTCTTTTTATTACATGCAAGGAAACGTTTTAAAAAGACATTAAACCAAATACTGAATGAAAAGCGCGCCAAATAATAATACAACGTGACGTCATTTGCGACGTCACGTCATTAAGTTGGTACCAAGTACTGTGCACGCTGGTATTTCACTGAAACAACGTAAGGGGCTTAAATTCAAAACAGTGAAATTATCAAAGTGGTAATTTCACTGTTTCAAACAGTGAAATTACCAGTTTTATATCACTGATATATTTCTATAAACCACCGAAAAGCATGTAATAAATTCTGATAAACCACTAGTGAAATGTATAAAATATAATATTCACTGTAGCCGGATTATATCTGAATGCGGATGAAAAGAATATCATAACTATAAGGAATAATAGGCAAAAGTAAATGCCGTCATACGTAAATTTTGCTTTCTTTAAGAAAAGGAAGTCGATGTCATTATAGACCATGTTAAAAATGTAACAAATTTAGAGAAATTTAACAGAACTATATTTCAAAATTGATGATGTGACATCATGATTTGATGACGTCAAAGTCGGTAAAATACTTAAAATCACTTAAAAAGCACGAAATAAACAGAAAATTTATTTGTTTTACATAGAAGATTGAAATATGTTTCATTCGTGAACACCAGCTATTCTTTTTTCACTCGTGGCTACGCCACTCTTGTGTAAATATTGTATCTGGTGTTCACTCAGTGAAATATATTTCAATCTTACATGCAAAACAAACAAATGTCCTCTATATATACGTTCCGATAATAAAAAGAAATAAATATCTTATCAGTAATTCTATTCTTTCAGTATGAACAAATATAAACCTAATAAATATTGTTGACAGTTTGTTAATTATGATGTTTGTTATTTATTTTCTGCTGACAGTATATTTCAATGGTCAGTGTCCGTTCATGTCTTGTGCCATCAAGGGTTCATCATGACTGCTATCTTTATTAAAGAATTAATTAATAAGCAAAGAACCAATAAGCGTGAATTGGTCAAATGTAAGTGAATTAACGCTAATATATTAATTATACCCGTTGTTGACTTTCTCATAGCATTGCACCAAGAGAATCTCTCGTAAATCCACGTGACAATCGACTTAGCACGTGCTTATCGAAAATAAATGATTTTAAATATTTATCGAGATTTTTTTTT